CCCCAAAACCCCAAAACCCCAAAACCCCTGCTGTTATTTATTTTCTTGAAATAATAATAGTATTAAATATGAAGTTCACTTTATGCTGTTTAGCATTGCTAAAAATCATGCTATGTAAGTCTTAATATTCCTAAAGCACCCTTATTAAATACTTCCTTCTTGGCCTTATCTAACTTTCTCTAGGATTTATGCTTGTAATGCCCTTTAGTTGTGGGAGTGAGATCTCCTCATTCTTGAAATCACCTATTGGAGATACATCTGTGCTTGATGATGTTTCACTCATTTATATCAACAAAGCAAAAAGTTTCTTTGAAGATGCAACTAATAAGGGCTATGTCAAGCAAGAAGGAACTTGATTTAACAGGCTTCAAAATATTTTCAATAATTTTGAGCAAAATTCAGGAATCATCGGAAGGATGGTGTATTTCAGTGGGAAAGATGTCAATGATCTGGGAAGATTCAAAGAATGCCGCTCTTCAAATGATACGAGGTATATCGTATTCTCTGTCAATGGTCTTCCGATGGGAATCTACTTAGCGATGTGAGTACCTACTGAATGTACTGAGGAGTACTTTTCACAATTCAAACCTTACCTGGCAAGTTTCGGTAATAAGGTTCTTGATGAGCTTAATATCCAACAGGCTTATTTTGAAGAAGAACTCACTCCTGAAAGATTTGATTTCTTTGATTCTGCTAAGAGAAATTCTGAAGTTCAGACTCTCAGGGCTGGCCACTACATTACTATACTCATAATGATTTTCTTGATTACAAGTGTGATAGTATCAACCATTATTGAACTCATTGAGAGATCAAAGAAGACTGCTAGAGAAAAGGCAGGAATTCCAGAGCCGGAGCCTAAACCTAAAAATTGTCTCCAGAAATACTTCACTTCCTTCTATCTTTTGGAAAACACCAGCAAATTGTTCTTTGCCAGGAGCAAAGATGGAGATAAGAATCTGGAAATTCTTAATGGAGTTAGAGTCCTAAGTATGGCTTGGGTTATCCTCGGGCATACCTATTACTATGCTATGAGAACAGCATTGCATAATCCATTGGTTCCTTTAGACTTATTGAAGAGTTTTACTTTTAACATAGTCTCTTCTGGTCCATATTCTGTTGATATCTTCTTTTGGCTATCTGGATTTCTTGGAGTTTATATCCTCCTTGGATCAACTCATAAAAGAAAGGGAAGGATGCAAAACTGGTTAATGATTTACCTCCATAGATTCCTCAGACTTATGCCAGTTTATGTAGTGACTCTCCTCTTTTTTTGGTTCGTGATGTCCGCTGTCGGATCAGGACCGATTTTTTTCCAATATTATAATTCAGGAGCTTCTCATTGTAGAAGGGCTTGGTGGGTCCATCTTTTATTTCTTAATAATTTCTATGAGATTTATCCAGATGCAAACAACTGTATGGGATGGACTTGGTACTTGCCAAATGATATGCAATTCTTCCTTTTAATCCCTCCACTGGTATTTTTACTTTACAAAAGTAGGATGATAGGATTCTTGGTCATTGCTCTATTGCAAATGGCAGCTTTTGCTGCTACTTTCACTATTGCATGGAAGGGAAATATGGGTCCAAGTTATTTCAGAGCTACTAGTGATTATTACAGATTATATTATCAAAGACCATGGGCTAGGATTTCCCCATTTTTCATTGGGGTAATTGTAGCGGTGCTACTTTACTCTTTTAAAAATGACGATCCAAAAGACAGTATATGCAAAAGAATTATGGATAAAATAAATCAGAATATGATAATTAGAATCATAATGTATGTTGTTGGCAGTATTATATTCTTGACAATGATTTTTATCTTCTATTGGATCAATAATTATCCTGACAGCTTCTCAAAAGGATTTAATATTTCATTCTTAACCTTCTCAAAAGGTCTCTTTATTGTCGGAATGAACCTGGTTCTACTTCCTGTTCTTATGGGACACTTCTCTCTGATGAGAAATATCCTAGCATTTGATGCATTTACTCCTTTAGCAAGATTGACTTTTGGAGCTTACATGGTTCATCCAACAGTCATGCTTTTTGATGCAATGAATACTGTTAGAGGTGAATATATGACAATCAGTTTTGGAATAATTAGGTTCATCTGATGGATAGTTGTATCCTTTGCGATCAGTTTGATTTTAACCCTCTTAGTCGAAACTCCTTTCATGAGATTAGAAAAAGAGTATTTGATGGGAGGTTATGGTTGTCGCAAGACCAAAAAGAAACATCTAAAGAAACCAATTAACCAAGAATTGAAGGACGAATCTGAACCAACAGAAGAACTTGATCAAGGTTTTGTAAACCCTAAAGAAATTTTACTTCAAGAGACTCAAGATAGAATAATAGGCAACGGAATGAATCATGATCTTGATGATATCCCGAATAGGAAAAGAAGCTCACAGAAAGTACTACAATTAGAACTAAAGGAGAAAAATATTGTATCTATTAATGGTTACGAAGAAGAATCTGAAGAGAGTCTTACTAATGTAGATGTCTCAGAAGAATCAACCCCTGAAGGCAATAAGATAAACAGATTTATAAGAAATGGGCACTAATAATTCAAAATGATAACATGTAAAGGGGTTTTGGGGTTTTGGGGTTTTGGGGTTTTGGGGTTTTGGGG